TTTGGGGGATCAGACTTGGCCATCTCAAAATGTGTCTCTCTTCCTTGATTATTATTTTTTTTCCTTTTTCTCCCAAAAGCCCCCTGGTACATAGTTGTATATTCTTTGTTGTGGGTCCTTCTAGTTGTAGCATGTGGGATGTTGCCTCAGTGTGGTTTGATGAACGGTGCCATATCCGTGCCCAGGATTCGAACTGACGAAACACTGGGCCCCCAAAGCGGAGCAGGAGAACTTAACCACCCGGCCACTGGGCCAGCACCTCCTAGATTATTTTTAAGGACAAAAGAGTCTGAAAGAAATTTTGACCTCTCCCACAACTGCCTAAAAGAGTTTAAGACAGAAGGCCTGTCCCAGGAAGGATCTAATACCATAAGATAACTACAGTACAATGTAAAATAGCTATGATAGACAGAAAGGCACCAGCAAGCCCCTTTTTATTAAAGTTCTATCTCTCGGGTCACATTGTCTATAGATGGCTCAGCAAATAGCAAACATTTATGTTTCCTTCTCTGTAAATTTTATTTCTCCCCTTTGAAGTCCCAAACCGCTACCCCTCACATCCTCCTTTGTCTTTAGCTGAAGATCGTTTTTAAGGTGGTGACTTCAGCCATTCTGGCAAGCTACTCGGTTTTCCTGGGTTTCTCCCATATGTACATGTTATTAAACCTTGTTTTAGTCTGTCCTCTTATTCTGTCTCACGTCAGTTTAATTCTGAAGCCAGCCAGAAGGACCTAGAGGGTAGAGGAATTGTCTTTCTCCCCTACAACGTCAATGGGCCACTGCAGGTCACCCAGGTTGCAAGAATTAATTCTTTTTCTGACCCCCTTTTCTCTATGTTCTTGATCTGGGGAATAACATCCCCTGCTCCAACCCCTCATTCTAGGTTTCCCAGCCCCAAAAGAGGGCCATCCTAGGTCCTCCAACTCCCTCCCTCATCCCTTCCCTCTGCCCCACCTACCCCCAGCCACTGCCACCTGCAGCCAATCACAAAGTCCAGTCAATGCTAACTCTAGAAGTTTCTCCTGACTTTACTTCCTCTCCCATCTCCCACCCACTGACTTTGATCAGGGCAGTCAGTCCCTGCCTCTGTGACCCCCATGGCCTCCCAACCAGCCTCTCTCTTCCTATCCCTGCCACTCCACATCCAGTCTCCCCAAGACCCACTTGGCTTTCCCAAAGGACATCTCTGGCCATGACCTTCCTCTGGCCTTAGGGCACAGGGCATGCCCTTTGGGCAGCTCACAGGCCCTTTATGACTGGTCCTTCCTCACCCCTCCTTGCCTTCCCTGTGCTCTGACCCCCAGGTTGACTGAACCACTTCCTTTCTCTCATCGCAGAGCTTGCTCTTGTCTCTGATGCTCTGCACATGAGTTATTTTTATCGCCAGCCATCTTCCTCATATCCACTCTTCCTTTTCTTCCTCCATCAGACATTCCTTCTCTGAGAAACTGCCCTGAAGGCCCCACCTCAGCTCAACTTCACTCTCTTGGTCCGTAGGCCACAAATACCTCTGCCTCTCCCTGCATGGGTCATGTGTTGCAATTCTCTGTGCCTGTCTGCACCCCTCTGGGCTTTGAGCTCCATTCAAGCAGGATCCTGCATGCTCTTCTCCTTCTCTCCCTGCGTCTCCAGGATACAGCAAAGGGCCTGGCTTGGAAAGGGGGACAAAGAAATATACATGGAAGAGGGCTGGAGGACCAGCGGGGCCAAGACTGCTGCCTAGCTCCTCCTCCATCATAGCCAGGACAGGGCAGGCCCGGAGACTGTCTCCACTTTGGAATCACAAGGGGATTTTTTCACTCTGAAACTGTCTAACTAAGGCAAGGCCTGGACTCTGTCCCAACAGCTGGTGGCAGATGAACTATGACCTTGGTTCCTGCCTGGATAAGGAGACAGGTTCCCCAGGCAACAGAGCCCTGATTCATTTTGGCAGCAAGAAACCCCTTCTCAGAACCAGGTGACACACAGGGTAGACTGCCCTCTGGAATGTGCAGCGTGTCTTGCCACAATTGCCCTGTTTCCAGCAATAGCCCAAGTCAGCTGGGTTTCTTTTCAGCTGCACACCGCTGAACTCTGTCTGCCCCTCCCTGGAACTTGCATTAACCTGGAGATCAGGGCTGATAAGAGGGGAGGTTTAAGAGTCAGAATGCTGAAGTTCGAATGCACTTAGTAAGGGAGGACAAATGCCGTGGGGGAAAGAGGAGAGAGACAGGACTGGAGCTCAGAAGGCCCCAAACTCCAGCTTGCAGCTGAGCAGACAAGGTGGGGGTTCACTCACACCCCAGTTCTGGGTCCTGCCATTGCCCACACTCCAGCTTCTTTCTCAGCTCAGCCAGCCACAGCTCCAAGACCCCCACAGTTCCTCCCACACTGGGGTCGCTGCGCCCCCGCTTCCCCATAGTGTGCCAGACACAGAGAGGAGGCTCACTCTGCCTGAAGAGCTCACAGCCCTGTAGGAAAAGGGACTTTTAAATCACAAATACAGTTTTCTGTGAAAGCCTTCCAAAGCCTTTCAAGCTCTAGAGTTAATTGTGTTCAAGGTCAGCAACCCAGACTGAGCTCTCTGTAGGAGCAGAGTGGCCCCTCCGCTGTACAGCCACTGATGGAAATGTCCCGGGGACTGACCTGAGCCATGGTGTCTGGAGGTTCTGCTGCTCATGGACCAGCTTCATATCAAAGTTGGGAATTTCACTTTCACTTTCCTTCTGACACTCTTTAAAAACTACTCAATACTAAACTTTTTTTAGAGAGAGACTAAACATTTGCTCTAGATGGAAAGGCCAATGACTACGTACCTCCAAACATGGAATCACTGGTGCCTTTAAGCCACTGGAAGCCGGTGGGTGGCTTTTGACTAGGCAACCAGCACATAAGATGCACTCACCTACTTCCATCCACCATCACTAACAGCTTTATTATAAGGCGACAAAGAGGCTGAAACCAGTTCTCGAACAATCAGACTGGTTCTCTGTAGGATCTGGCATGAAAGTGGGGGTGGTTGACTCACTGGAGACTGGAAGAGTATGCAGCAGGCTTGTGGATGTCGGCAGAGACCTCATCAGAAGGAGCTTGCGCCCAGGGCACTCAGGGAGGGAACGGCCTCTCCCAGCATCAGCCCCCGCCCCAGGTTCCTTTGGCCAGACAGAGCTCCAGACACAGTGGTCCAAAGTCCCTTGGCTCCTCTGTTCTTGTCCCCAGGCCTGGCACTGCCCGTTCTGTTTCCAAAAGAGCTTTATGTGTAAAAGAAGTAAAAGGGTCACTGACTGTTCACCTCCTTGTATTAAAGTCATGTTCAAAACGGAAAAAGAGAAAAAAAAGCAGCCAGGCCTTGTCTCTTTCAAGTAGTGTCACTTTGGGTAGTCGCCTGACCTCTCCTCCTCTCGATGGCCTTCTCTTTAAGAGTGGAGCCTTCGTCCTTGTCAGCAGAGAGGCAGTGAGCCTGTGGACCTGGAGCTCCAGAAGGTGGTGACTCGGGTCATTGCTGGCCCAGCTGGAGCCACCTCTGTCACTGGGCTTCAGTTACGGAGGCCCGTCTTCAGGGTAGAGGCCGTCAGGAGGATTCTGCCGCTGAGGTCTGTGCCTCTCCCCTCAGCTGCTCCTCTCCTGCTTCCACGTCTGGGATGTTACTCTTGCCTCACCTTCCAGCCTTCTTTCCTCCTCAGCGGCTCTGCTGTCAGGTTGGCTCAGCTCTTGAGCAGTTTGTGGCATCGATCCTCCCTGAGAAATGTTCAGCTGGCTCTGGGATTTATTCCACATCTTTTTTTGGATTGAGGTAACATTGGTTTACAACACACAAATTTCAGATGTGCAGCATTATATTTCAATTTCCGTGTAGAATGCATCATGTTCGCCAGCCAAAGACTGATTACCATCCATTCACATTTGTCTCACAGATATTTCTAGGGTCATCCCTCATGGTAGCCAGTAACAGATGCAAACATAACCTCCCAGAAGGGCAAGGAGGACAAGGCATTGAGGGAAGAGGTAGGGCCAGTCATCGAGGTTGCACTGTTCCCCAGGTGAGCAAGTGCCGGGGGTTTTCAGGGGGTCTAACTCTGAGATGACCACCTGATGCAATACCCAGCACTTGGTGGAGCCTCACCTTGGTCCTTTATTCAACGGGTATCGACTGAGTGCCTACTGCATGGCCTACTGCATGCCAAGCACTGTTGTAGGCACTTGGGGATGCACCTGTGAAGAAGGCTGATAAGAATAGGTGCCATTGTGGATCTTATCTTCTTGTCCAGGAGACTGACAAAAATATAGTGAGATGGACACTATATGAGATGGTCAAAGCTGAGAAAAATGGAGAAGGGAATGGGGATGCGGGTGGTGGGGAGGTGCAGGTTCAGATAGTGTGTTTGGAGACGGCCTCACTGAGTAGGTGACTTTTGGGTAATGAACTCAAGGAGGCAGGGAATGAGCCCTGGGCAAATATGTAGAAAGGTGTCCTGGGCGGGGAAGCAGCTATTGTCATGGCCCTGAGGCTGCACGTGTCTGCCAGGGTGTCTGGAGCCGGGGAGTGGGTCACAGGAGATGACAGCCGAGAGCTGACAAGAACCTGATGTACATGGGGCTACAGGCCATTGTAATGGTGTTGATTTTTACTCTGAATTAAGTGGGAGCCACTGGAGGGTTGGAGCACAGCAGTGACATGATCTGACTTATGTAGTTTTTGTAGACTCACCGGTTCCCGTGTTGAGAATAGTCTGCGGGGTCAAGGGTCGAGGCGGGAAAAGCAGTTTGCAGTCTTCCAGGCAACAAGAAATGATTCGATTCTTGACATGTTTTGAAGGTAGAGTGTATTGCTATGGCTTCTGTAACAAATACCGCAGACAAGGTGGCTTAACCAAAAGCATTTTATTTTGCCATGATTCTAGAGGCTAGAAATTCTAGAGGGATGGGTTGTTCTGAGGCCTCTCTCCTTGGCTTGTAGACGACTGCCTTCTCCCTTTGTCTTCACAAGATTGGTCCTCTCTGTGTGTCTGTGTCCTAATCTCTTAAGGACACCAGTTGGATTAGGACCCATCCATGTGACCTCATTTTAACTTAATTACCTCTTAGAGACCCTGTCTCCAAATACAGTCATATTCTGAGGTACTGGGGGTTAGGACTTCAATATATGAATGGGGGGGGCATAATTCAACCTATAACACTTCCTTTATGTTGTAGCAGTATAATCCAGGTTTGTCTTGTCCATCGATCCTACTAGTAGGTATTAAACCCAGAGAAATGGAAAGCTATGTTCATACAGAGACTTGTACATAAATGTTTTTAATAGCTCTATTCATAATTGACAAAAACCTGAATGTTCTTCAGTGGGTCAATACATAAACAAATTGTGGGACAATGGAACACCATTGATTAATAAACAGGAACGGGTCACTGATACATACAGCAACTTAGATGAATCTCAAAAGGATAATGCTGAGTGAAAGAAACCAGTTTCAGAAGGCCACGTTCTATATGACGTCATTTACACACCATTCCCAAACAGACAGAACTGGAGTAATGGAGAAGAGATTGGTGGGTCACCTGGGCTCAGGGAGTGGGTGGAGGAGGTTTGACGACAAAGGGGTGACTAAGGGTGTTTTTGGGGTGAAGGAGTTCTTACACATCCTGATGGTGGTGGTGGTTACACAAATCTACATATATGCTAAAACTAGAATTTTACCCACTCCAAAAGGTCAATTTTATTGTGTTAATAAAAAATAAAATATACAGTAAGGATAACCACCAGAGGTGTAAAACCATATCTACAACTTACAAATCAGTCTAAAAAAAAAAGCGAGGATGATAAAGAGATCTCATTAATCCAACAGCAAGCAAGAAAGCTGAAAATATAAGCTGAAAAAATAGCATGGTAAATAGAAAACACGAAATAAGATGGTACAAATAAACCCAAAGATACCAGGAATCGCAGTAATAGAACTGTGACTGGGCACCCGCCCTCCCCCCAGGGAACATTGCCAGCGTCCCTTGCAGACAGCGTGGCTCTGTGACTGCGTGCTCGCCCCTGAGAGCGAGTGAAAACAGTGTGTGCCAATCCCAGGCCCGGGGCTTAGGAAATCAGGGGCCTTGTCCACATTCCCTATTTGCCTTCTCAGTGGCTGGAACCTAGACATGGCTGCCACTGAGCATCAGCCTGGGAGATGATGCTGATGCTCTGGGAGTGGCGGGACGATGACCAGGATGACCCTGAATGTCCATGGTGAGCAGAGCTGCCTCACTGACCTGGACCATTTTCTCCTAAACTGTTAGGTGAGAATGAAATAAACGTCTAAATTCTTTAGGCCACTGTATTTTGAGTGTCTTTGTTGGGCTACAAAACCAGCCTCCTACTCTAGGTCCTGAAGGCAGATGAGACACATCTCAGGCTCCTGGTGGAGGGAGGGGCAGAGTTTGAGGAGCCTTCACCCCCTTGTGCCTTCTCTCTGCTGTGGGGCCCAACACTCCTGCAGTCATAGGCTCATGGCCACAGAGCGAGCCAGGCGTGACATGGTGGTGACAGGTGGACAGTCTAATGAGAGGAGGAGAGGCAGGCCATACTGTGTAGCTCCAGGCATAGGTTGGCCTTCTTCTTCCCTGGTCAGGCCCTCTGGATCCCTCCTCAATGGTGGACACAGTAGAGCTGCACGCTGCCACTGATCCGGAGCTCCCGCAGCCGCTCCAGGGTTAGCTGGTCCAGGCTGGTGGTCCCTATGCCCTGTCCATTGAGCGCCAGCTTCAGCCCTCCCTCCTGGCACAGGAGCAGCACCTGGAAAATGAGGCCATGAGGCACTGCAGGCTTCCAGATAGACCCTCTATCACCTGCCTGATGCCCCACCCAGAGAGCCCCTCCTTCCCTCAGAGGACACAAGGACTGGACCCATGTGGTGCAAAAGCACAGGACAAGAGGCCCAGCTTGTCACCAGCCCACTGGGACCTTTCACAAGGATCTTCCCAGCCCTGGGCCTCAGTTTCACCATCTGTGACAGGGGTTGCTTCCCCTGGAGGAGTGATTCTCAACCCTGGCTGCACGTTGGAGTCATCAGAGAGCTTTTTAATAATGCTTTTGCCAGGGCCACCTGATTAATTAAATCTGGGTTTCTGGGTGTGGACTCCCTGGTGCCACCATGGAGGGTTGAGAGCCATGGCATGGGTGTTCTCTCCCCCAGTGGGTTCTGGCTTCCCCACCTCCCCAGTGACTCCCAGTCTCCTGGATGGGAATGCTGCTCTGCACTCCACCCCTGAGGGACGGAGGGACGAGGCCACTTGGTTCTGACCGACCTCGAAGAATCGCTGGGGGTAGAAGAGGAAGGGGGCCGAGATCAGCGTCTTCCGTCCCCAGGGCGAGATCCAGGCCAGAGTCCTGTCTGCGAAGGAAGCCCTGAGTGTCACAGGAACATGGGCGGCCTTGTCCCGCAGACTCAGTGTGAAACTGTGGAAGGGCCGAGAAGGGACTCAGCTTCCATAGCTGCCAGGCCATGTCTCCCTGACTCCACTGGGCTGTGGCTGCTGGGCCCTGATGGGAGGATGGAGGTGGGAGAAGGGCTGGAAGATTTGGAAGATTCCCTCGCAGAAACAGGCAAGCCCTTGGACACCTAACAACTCAGAAGGGTGGCAACCGCTGATGGAGTCTTAGGATGAATCCCCATGTTATCACCTTCTGGCTGGAGGACCACTGGGAAGCAAATTACCTTGCCTGAGCCTCAGCTTCCGCTCCTCAAAATAGCGATAATTATGATAATAGTACTAGCTAACATCTGTTGAGTTCTATGTGCTAGGTATAGTCTTAAGTGTTTTGCCAATAGTGTAGGGGCTAGAGCAAGGCTATTTGGGTTCAATGCTCCTGTGCAACTTTCTAGCCCTGTGACCTTGGACAAGTCACTTACTGTCTCCTTGTATCAGTTCCCTCATCTGTAATGTGGGGATAACAATGGTACTCGTATAACTCAACAACAACAAAAAGAACAATCCAATCAAAAAATAGGCAGAAGATCTGAGCAGACATTTTTCCAAAGAAGATTTACAGATGGCCAACAGGCACGTGACAAGATGTTCCATGTCGCTAATTATTAGGGAAATGCAAATCAAAACTATAATGAGATATCAACTGACACCTGGCAGACTGGCTATAATTAATAAGATAAGAAATAAGTGTTGGAGAGGATGTGGAGAAAAAGAAACCCTCCTACACTGCTGGTGGGAATGCAAGCTGGTGCAGCCACTATGGAAAACAATACGGAAATTCCTCAAAAAACTAAAAATAGAAATACTATATGATCCAGCTATTCCACTACTGGGTATTTATCCAAGATAAGAAATAAACAATTCAAAAGGATTTAAGATATGGAAGCAAGCCAAGTGCCCATCAGAGGATGAATGGATAAAGAAGATGTGGTATATATAACAATGGAATACTACTCATTAAAAAAAGACAGAGTTGTGCTATTTGCGACAACATGGATGGACCTTGAGGGTATTAGGTTAAAGGAAATAAGTCAGACAGAGAAAGACAATATTGTATGATTTCACTCATATGGGAAAGATAAACAAACACACAGATGAGGAGAACAGAGACTAGTGGTTACTAGAGGAAAAGGGAGTCGAGGGTCGTCAAAAGGGGTAAAGGGACACATATGTATGGTGTTGGCTAAAAACTAGACTATTGGTCATGAACACGATGCAGTCTATACAGAAACTGAAATATAATAATGCATACCTGAATTTACACAATGTTAAAAGCCATTATGATCTCAATAAAATAAAAAAAAAATTACCTGCTGTATCACTAATAATAACCATGTGACTTTGAACTATGAACCTGGTCTCACCTCTCCACATTTTGGCAGGAGGAAGTGTTCTTTCTATCACTGGGAACTTTTTCATTTTCCCTATAAAATTGGGATTATATTTCTCTTTTTTTTACAATAGGGAAGCTCAGGACGCCAGAATCAGAGAGGTGTATGGACTTGCCCATGACCACACAGTTTATAAGAGGCAAAATCAGGAACCTAACCCAGTTTGGAGGCCCATGCTGTCCAGGGTCGTGCAGCACTGCCCCAGAATTCAGAGGCCTGATTAGGAGTATGCGGGGCCAGGGTTTAGTGAGGTCAGTGACTTCAAAAATAAAATCAAAATGAAAGGGGATCTGGCGGGGAACACACAGGGTGCCCCCCTCGTCCCCCTGCCCCTCCACTGAGAGAATTTGGTACCACCACATTTGTGGAGCACTTGCTGTGCGCCTGGCACAATTCTAAGCCTTTACACCACCCCTGAAGCCGGCACTATTATTACCCCTTTTACAGACAGGGAAACTGAGGCACAGAAAGGAAAAGTAACAGCCCTGAAGTTGCACAGGTAGAAAGTGTCCTCAGCAGAAGTCAGTCCCAGGCAATCTGGCCTAGAAATCCAATGTATTTCCAGAAAGAAGGGGAGGAAAGACGGAAGGAGGGAAGGAAGGAAAGAAAGAAAGAGACAAAGAAAAAAAGAAAAAGAAAAAAGAAAAAAAGAAAAAGAAAGACCCTTGTCTAACTGGCTTGGAGCTCACGGTTTGGGACAGGGAGCGGGCGCGCCCCCTGCTGGAGAAGTTAGTTATTGCGTCCCGCCGAGTCCCCACTTCCCAGCACCTGCCCTCCCCTCTGGGGCCACCAGGCTGTGTTTCCTAAACCAGGCACTGTGTCACCAAGGGGGGGCCCATCCTCTTGTTGGGTCTCAGCCTGCGCCTGCAAAGCGCCTTTCCTGAGGCCCCAGCAGGGACTTGCGAGGAGAGGCTGGCTGGCCTGACCAGATACACAGGCAGGGAAGATACTCCCACAAGTGGGGCTGCGGCGGCCCGGGAGGCAGCCTGAGCCCTGGTCCCAATCCCAGCCTGACTGTCACAAGGTCTGTGACCCTAGGCGATTTCCCTCTCCTCTGTTTCCTTATCTGTAAGATGGGGATTAAATGGTGGAGTTGGAGATAAAGAGGTAATGCTTATAAAGCTGGCGCCCGGCACAGACACGCTTCTCCCTCCCCTCCATCCGCGTACTTACTCCTTTGGCTCTGGCAAGACCAGCCCCCGCACTATGATGACCTGTCCGGGCCAGAGACCCCGCGGAAGGGCACGTGAGCAGGGCACCTCCTGAAGGAACAGGGAGATGACTGAGAAGGTGGCTCACAGAGGGGCTCTGGGGGGCTGCCGCCCCCAGGAGTGGCTTTCTGGGCTGCCCTCCGGGAGCCCTGGAGCAGGTCAGTCTCTGCCTCTAGGCCTGCAGCCAGGAGGAGACTCAGCTTTGCTCGTTTATTGAGCACGTACTGCCGGCCTGGCCTCCTATAGTCCTCTCCAGGCTGAGCTCCGGGCCCCTCTGTGCCGTGAGCATCATGGATGTCCCCCATCACTGCACCCTGAACTGTAATGGTCCTTCATTGGTCTGCCTCCCCACCAGCCAAGAGCAACTGGTGGGCTGGGACTGGCTTGTCCCTCTATCCTAGAGCCCAGTGCTGGGCCTGGCATAGAAAAGTATCAGTTAATTGCGTGCAGAGTAAACGGAGAGAAGGCACAAAGAAGCTGTAGCTTCAGCCTGAAGCTGCCCTGCCCACCACAGCCTGCAGCTTTGTATAAAGGTAGGACAAACCCTGGGGGCCTTTCCTACCAGGTGGGGGTGTCCTCCCACCCCTCATGGAGCAGGGGGGAGACAGAACCTCTGAGGGAGGTCACTTACCAGCTGGGGGCTCTTCGGCAGGAAAGGCTGTCAAGGAAGGAAAGAGGAGACATGCAAGCCTTGTGGAGTTTGCTCAATGAGGGAACCTCTTGTTATTATTATTAAAAATTGAGGATATTTGGGGTTTGTCTCTCTCAGAGACAATGCAAGTAAGTCACTGGAGTTCCAGCAGGGTCTTCTTGAATTCAGAGGGACACTAGCCCTGGAATAATGGCGAAGAACTCGATGGAGGGTCTGTGTGGCCTTGGGCAAGTACATGGGCCTCATCTAGCCTTCCGCCCCACAGGCCGACCCCAGCTGCCTTGCAGGGTTGCTCTGGGAATTGAAAGCTCCAACCTAAAGCGATCTTCTGAAAGGAATGCCAGGGCCCTGTCCAGTCTGGGCAGCCAGCCCACCCCTAGCCATCTTCCCAAGCTGGGCTGGGAGAGGCAAATCCAGGCTCTGCAGGGACTGAGCGGGCTGTATCCATGGCAACAGCACAGGGAAGGAAAGGGCAGCTGGGCCCTGTGTCTTCTGAGCAAGAGCCCAGGGCAGGACAGGTCACGCTGGGAGGGGGGAGAACCAGCAGCTCAGCTCGCATGGCTGGGACCACAGGGGCCAAACTTGTTCTCAGGAGACTCACGTGTCCAACCGGATACTCGCTGCCGCCCTCCACGAACGGCTGTTCAGAAAGAGAAAAAGCAACAGGCAGGATTCCAGACCCTTGCAAGTCCTGAGAGCTATTTATTTGCCCTGCCTGCCCTGCTTGTGCCTGGGAGGCGGGCAGAGGCCAGCTTTGGCCTTGCCGGCTCCCTCATTCTTCCCATCGGCCTCGTCAGTGGTTCTCACACCTGGCGTTTTGAACGTGCTGGTTCCATGGCCCCACCTCAGACTGACTGGTCCTAGAAATCTGCATTTTTACTAAGTTCCTCGGGAGGGGATGATATCGCCAGCTGCTATGTTTGGGCCACCCGCTGCAAGTCTCCAAGTCATTCACCTCCTGGCCGTTGCTTTTCTGCATCAGCCAGACCCCACATCCAGGACCGACTTCTGCCTAAGGCTCTGGGGTACCCCTTCTGAGGTCACTTTCTCTGCCCCTTACCCCACTCATATCTGACACCGGGACGGATCCCCTCTACCTTGGCTATAATTGGTGTGACAGGGCTTGTCTCGGGCAGGAGGGGGTCCCGGGCCTGTCCAGGCATCAGGGGGAGTCAGGGGCTGCTGCTATCCAGTCCTCGGCTCCAAGTGAACTTACGTTGATGTTCAGGAATCCAACAGCCTTCACCAAGATGTCACCAAATATGCCCAGGGTGTCCACCCGAGACAGTGGGAGCCGGTAGCGGTAGTGGAGAAAGTGCTGTCCATTCACGCTCACCTGGAGACAGACAGAGGCTGGCTCAGCAGCCGCTGATGCTCACTGAGTTTGTGCTAACATGCCAGGAATCAGTGCGCACTCTTACATGGAATTTTCCTCATTTAACTTCACAGCAACTCTAGGAGGCATGTACATATTACAGACGAGGTGCCTGGGGCTTGGGGAACTTAAGTGACCTTCCCAAGGTTGCAAAGCTGGCAGATGGCAGAGCTGGCTTTGGAACCAAGGCACCTCTCGACATCCCTCTCTGCCCCTGACACAGCACTTCCCCACATCGCCCCTCATTTCGCCTCTCAGCAGACTCTCCAGCAGCAGCAGCAGCAGCATCCCCATCCACAGGGGAGGAAATGGAGGCTCAGGAGGCTGTGTGAACCCCTGTCCCTCCCTCCCCCCACTGCTGGCTCCCCACCGACTCCCCTCTCCCCTGGAGAAGTCTGGAGATCCCACCATCTTTCTGGCAGGAGGTCACATGGGTGGTGACAGCCTTGAGGTCTGGTTCTCTCTCCGTGCCCCCACCGCCTCAGCTGTGAGATGGGGAGATTGAAAGTACCCTCCTCAAGGGTTGTTTTGGGGATTCAATGAGCTGATATTTAAGGGCTTAGAACAGTGCCTGGCACATGGCAAGAGCTCTCCCAGTGCTTGCTGTGACTATGGTAGTGGTGTCCTCTCCAGGGCCAGGGCACCATACAGGGCTCCTGCTGCCATGTGTTCCAGGCCATGTGGCCCAGGGCAGCTTGGAAGCGGGCTCAGCAGCTCCTTGGTCCTCAACCCCTCCCCCCAATACCCCTTACTATGGTGACATGGAGAATTCAGCTGAAGGAAGGAGGGGTGGAAGGACACAAGCTCCGGACACTCGAGGCCCATCCCTTCCACTCACCTTCATCTGCTCATTTTCAAAGAGAAAGAGGATGAGGAAGCTGTCGCCTCTCTGCAGGGCCACGTTGGGCCATCGGGCCTCGACCTGCCAGTGCCCATGGTGCAGGGTGTTGCAGATGACGTGGGGCTTGGTGGTGTGGAAGCGAGGGTTGAAGTGGATGGCGATATCTGGCCGGGGATACAGAGTGCAGCCGCACTGAAAGTCCACCTGGAACCTGGTGAGAGGTGGGGCTCTGAAGGGACACTTCCCGTCAGAGACCCCCAGAGACCCCGAAGGCAGAGAGGAACCCCTAGCTCGATGCCTCTGGGGCTGAGCTCCAGCACCCCCGTGGAGCACTCCCCTTACCTGTGTGCATTGCGAGGGACCACTCCCTGTAGCATGACCATCTTGCCCGCACGCAGGCCACCAAAAATTGTCGTGACATAAGGAACCACCTGAACAAGGGGAGAAACCCATCCATACAGGGTTGGAGAAAGAGCCTAGAGACCCCTGTGACAGGATGGTGGGAAGGGAAGAAGGACAAGGAAACTCAACTCTCCCGCCCCAAACGGAAAATGCCCTTGGGGGAAAAATTAGTTTTCTCTGAAATGTTCCCTTCTGCCTACTCCCCACTCCTCGACCTTCACATGTCAAAGCCACATTGCACCAGGGAAGCCAAGTTCAGCTCCTTCACCTCCTTGGAGCACCAGCCCAGCCCCTCTCCCCAGCTCCTAGGGCGCAATAGTGTCCCCAGTGAGGCTTGCTGCCCACTAGATGGCGCCGTGGCCTCCAGAAACTTCCTGAGGCCTGTTTCTTGGCCAGAGTCCAGGAACTGGAGGGCAGAAGGATGGACAAGTCGGGTCCTGAGAGGTACCCTGATATGGATGGCTGGAGAGATTCCTAACAATCGAAGCTGCCTGGCATTCCTAAAATACAACACACACTTTTATAACTCTCTGCCTTTTCGGGCTGTTTCCTCTGCTCTCCCTCCCCCCTGTGAAATCCAACTTGACTTTCAAGGCTCCTGACATCTTCTCTGACACCCTCTCCAAGCATTGTCCACTTCAGTGCCTGAACTATCCCTTCCCTCCCCTGTGTTCCTAGAACACTTCACCCGCATGGCTAGCTTGCTCGTTGGCCGGCTGGCTTAGAGGGAGATGTATGGGCTGGCTGTTTACGCTGGGAGGCACAAGCCTCTCAAAGCTGAAGCCCTATCTTTCCCTTCTGTGCTCAGTGCCCCGCCTGGCGCAGCGAGGGCTCTGAGTAGGTGTTTGCAGAGTGAATGTGAACATGCAGCAGGTGCACATCGAAAAGTATCACAAGCTGGCCTTCACGTGGTGTTCTCCAACTCCCAGCAGCCTTCAGAAACCCAAACCACCTAGAAAGAGCCGAGACCCAACAGTGGGCCCGCTAGGTGGGAGCTCGCAGCCTGCAAAGCAAGGAGCCGTTGGAACTTGGGCAGTGCTCCCCCCATTACTCAGGCACCTGGGGAGGCGGGGAGCTCCTGAGTGTCACAGCTCCCACAGCTTTGCTGGGCTCAGCACTCAGTCCCTCCCACTTCCCAGGCTCCAGGCCTGGCCTGTAATTAACTGAGCCGATGCAACTCTCATGGGAGAGAGGGCCAAGTAGAGAGAAAGGGATAATTAGTGCTCATTAGTGGGAATTGGCTGGCCAGCCACTTTGCTAAGCTCAGGAGTGCCTTCCAGAGCCTATAGGCAGGTGCAGAGGGCTGGCAGGGGGGGGGGGAGGGTTGGGGTGGGCAGCGGGGAAGCAGGGCTCAGCTGGAAGGGAGGAGCCCTGAGACCCAGGCGGTTGCAGATCCCAGCGACTGCTCACCGGGTGGAAGACGGGTGGCTGCAGGATGAAGGTGTCAGGAAGTGGGTCCAGTTTCTCTCCAGATGACATGAGGGGTGGGGTGTCTCCAACTTGTGCTGCTGATCCTGATTCCAGGAGCCCCCACTGGATTGACTCACTTTTCCCAGCCCCAGCCTGGATCCTAAGAGCCTGGGGCAGCTCTCCCAGCTGTTAGTCTCCCCTGTGCCCAGCAGGGTCCTAATGCCCCTTGCAGCGGGCCTGGGAGAGCCCCAACCAGCTGGAGTGGGGCTGTGGGCAGAAATCCCTGTCCAGGGGTAGGAAGCTCATACTAACTGACTAACTAGCCCCTCTGGGTCTGAAGCCCACGGCCTTGGCAGAGGAAGGCCAGAGGCTGGCTCCTTTGGGGCCAACCAAGGTTTGTGGTTTTGGGGCTGCCTTCTGTTCTGAGCCCTCCCAGATCACAGGCTGGGCGGGGGAGGTGCACTTGGGCAGGTCCCAGGAGAAGCCCCGCCCCAGCTTCCTGGATGCCGTTGAGTGGCTTCCCCTCGCCCTCCATCTGCTCCCTCTCCGTCCTCCCCTCCTCTTCCCCTCCCCACTCCGCCTCTACTCACCTTTCTTCCTTCCCTGCTTCCTCTCTCCCCACAAAGTTTTCTTCTCTTTCTCTCATTTCCCTGTCCCTTTCCCACTCTTCTCCCTTTTGCAAGTTTTATAGTCCCCTGTGGCTCGATTTCAGCTTCAGCTGGCAATGCCAGGGCCCAGCTGCGGTCACAAGAGAGTAGAGTGAGGGGAGGTGAGAAAAGAGCAAGGGGAGAGGAGAGTCCCCTTAGGCTGAGAAAAGGCAGCAGCGTGCAGTGGGGAACACACAGCTGCACCTTGCTCAGCCTCTGTTCTAACGTGCTGTGTGCCCTGGGACAAGTCATTTGCCCTCTCTGGGCCTCCCTCTCATCATCTGTATATAGAGAGGGCAACTATTGCAGCATGTCTCCAAGGCAGGTCTGTACCTGGGGGTGGGCCCAGATAGCTGCGTTTTCATCAAGCTCTCCCATGATTCTTTGCACAGGAGTCATTCCAGTTCTAGTTCAAATTCCAATAAGGCTTTCCCTTTAAAAAGCAGCAGAACCTGTGACCTTTATCCTGGGTTGGGAGGTCCCGGGGATCTGACCACAACATCTCACTTGGCAGCAGGGAATTCCTGGCAGGACGAAGCTGGGCAAAGGCCCCAGTGCAGGGGTGCTGAGGGAAGAGGAAGCTGCTGCCCTGATGGAGGGGTGAGTGCAGGGGCGGGCCCCTTGGGAAAAGCATCTTAGCCGTTGTTACTCAAGGGCAGAAGCTTGTTAGAAATGCAAACTTTTGACCCCCTCAACCTGCTAAAGAGGGCTCTGTAGGGGAGGAAGACATTTCCTCTCCCCACTGTGGGTTCTTCTCTGGCCGGAGAACGAATTAAATTCACATGAGACAGAGTAACAGGAGAAAATTAAACACAGCTTCATCACATGTATACATGGGAGGCTCAGGCAATCTAAGCAACTCACCCAAATGGCTGAAGCCACCACCTTAAATATCATCTTCAGGTAAAGACACAGCAGGATGTTGGGGGTGGGGGGAGTCAGTTACAGGAGGTTACCAGACAAGCACAGTAAACAACAATAAGATTATTATGCAGATTTCAGTCCTTGCCTTCTGCATTGATAAGAGTTTCTAGAGATAAGGTCATCCCCCCTTCTTCCTGGTACAGAGAGGGAGACATCTTTGCAGATGGAGATTTCCTTTACAATGTAAATGTTGCTTAACAAAGGGTAAGTAAATTCTACTTTTCAGTTGCTTTCCTGTCTGTGGTTTATTAAAAGTAACCAGCCCCAAATAATCCTCATGCCAAAGAGACATATCTTGGGGTGGCCAGTTTCAGTCCCCCACAGCTCTCTGAGTGTAGGGCCCAGGAATCTGCATTTTAATGGTCTCTCCCAAGTGATTCTGATACATGTTACTGTTTGAGAAGGACTGACTTAGATGCTAACGGGCAGGGCTTGGGGGATGGAACCAAGCAGTTTATTCAGATCTTGCAGGGTAGGTGGAGCTGGGCTGCTCAAGGTGCTTTGTGTGTGGAAATTCAATCAGAGGTGTGCTCAGGCACTATCATCTATATACACAGCAGGAACGAGAAACCAAACATGGAAAAACCAGTTGGACAGCAACATGGCGCCCTGCCCCTGGGAGTCAGATCTGGGGCCTGGTCTCGGTGTCGTAGCACCATTCTTGAGGCAAATGCACCCTCCCCCTCTGGCCATCAGAGCCTCAGCTTCTGGTCTGGGCATTGAGGAAGGAAGACGTATTAATTTGCTAAGGACACCTCGCAAAATACCATAGACTGGGTGGCTTAAACAACAGAAATTTAATTCATCACAGTTCTAGGGGCAAGAAGCCCAAGATCAAGGTGTCAGCAGGGTTGTTTTATCTAAGGCCTCGCTCCTTGGCTTGTGGATGGTTACCCCTTGGTCTGTGCGTTTGTGTCCTAATCTCTTCTTATAAGGAGACCGATCATGTTGCATTAGGGCCCACCCATGTGACCTCATTTTACCTAAATTACCCTTTTAAAGGCCTTATCTCCAAATACAGTCTCATTCTAGTTACTGGCGGTTAGGACTTCAACATGCATTTTGGGGCTGACGGGGGTGGAGGGAGAGGCACAACTCTGCCTGTGACGGAAGATTAGCTATAACTGTTCTCTTTCTGAAACCTCAAGGCTATTGCACCTGTCAGGAGTGGGGGCTGATAAGGGCCTGCACCGGGGGAGGCAGCAGAAAGGAGAAGGATGGCGCGGTTTCATTTCTCTTTTCAGGTGACCCTGGTTTTTGGCAGGTGGGAGGGACCTGGTTGGGTTTAAGTCACCTCAAGAACTTGGTGAATATTAGAGGCTCCGGAATTAGAGAGGGTCTTTGTGTCTGTTGGTCTGTCCGGGGTAAGGAGAGGGAAAATCTCTCTTCCTGAGCCAGAGTGAGGGGGAGCTTTGGGAGAGGTCCAGGAAAGGGCTGATGAAGACCCTGACCCTGAGGGGACCCCCCTGCCCCAGGCCCCCTCTCACAGCCCAGCTCCCTACACCTTGTACTTCTCCCCCAGAGCACTATCCTAACTGGTCATTCTCTACTGAAGACATTTAATGCTCATCTCCCATTCTTCCTATTCCCCACCTATGACTTCCATGAAGGCAGATTTATTCTTACATCCTTAGTACTGAGCAAAATGCCTGATACAGAGCAAGTGCTCCGAATCTATTTAGAGAATGAATGACTGGAGCAAGTGATGCTTTACGGCTCCTGTCTGGTCTCTGCCTCCTTCCTTATCTCTCTCCCAGCAGATGTAGAATTGTGGCCAAGCACAAACTAGTCACATACTCTGCCCCCTGGCCGCAGATTGTAACTGAAGTAATTTTACCTATATCCATCAATTACCAATTAATAGCCCGGGAAACATAATCCATGGTCAGGGATCTCAAGATGCCCCATTCTTCTCCATTCTTTGATCTCCATTCTTTTGATCTTTCACAATCCCTGCTCCTGGACGAGTGTAACTCTCTGGGCCTAGGGAAGGACTAAAGCATAGATTAACCTAATTTGGTCTATGTTTCTACCCCTTTCTTCCATCTGATTCCCTCCTAGGTTACTGGAAACTCTCATGGATCCTCTTGTTCAAGGGACCAGTTTTACATCATCCTGGAACAGAGGGTGGGATAATTAGGAGAAATACTAGGCAAGAAGAAATGACAGAACCTGACAGCTGGCTGGATAAAGGAAGTTAGGAAAGGGGGCCAAAAAAGTGACTTCGGCATCTTGAACCAAATGATTGGGAAGATTTTGGTGGCATTAACAAAAAACAGGGAAGCTGCAGGTATAATCTGGAGGGGCAGCAAGCTGGCTAATTCCAGTCAAGACCACTTTAGAGGGGGTGGGATGTAGGAACCAGTCTGGGCAGAGCCCAGCCATGGGGATGTTCAATCTGTGTTGAATGAATGAAGGTGCGTTGTCTGAAAGCATCTTAATATACTCTTGAGAAAACGGGTTCAATTTCTTTTGGTGCTATTCTGCCCTGTAAGTGAGTTTTAGTGGCTGCAGCCATTTTTCATACGTGGGTGCTGTGATGATTAAAGAGAGCAGCCATCAATCTTGCTCTCAAGAAGCTTCCAGTCTAGATGGAGAGAGAAAGCATACACTTCGAGGGGAGAACCAACAGGACAGAGCCACTTGCTTTTTTTTTTCTTTAAATGTCAACCTCAATTTTTTATTTTAAAGATTTTATTTTTTTCCCTTTTCTCCCCAAAGCCCCCCAGTATATTGTTGTATATTCTTCATTGTGGGTCTTTCTAGCTGTGGCATGTGGGATGCTGCCTCAGCATGGTTTGATGAGCAGTGCCATGTCCGCGCCCAGGATTCGAACCAACGAAACAGTGGGCCGCCTGCAGCGGAGCACGCGAACTTAACCACTTGGCCACAGGGCCAGCCCCAGAGCCACTTGCTTTTTATTTATCTTTTTTCCCCAAAGAGTTAGAACCATTTAGACAGAAATATTGTAAAAGAGGGGGAAAAAAGCCCCAAGAATCATCCATAACCTCAGAAGGCTAATACAATGCTTCTCATTACTTTGATATGTGTCCTACCAAACTTCTTCCCTTCCCCATGAATCATAGGTTTATTGCCTCCTGCTTTAATTAAAAGCAATTAAGAATCTCAACTCAAAACCTGAGGCAGCTTGAATTTTTTCCAACCACTGTTCTTGACTGTACCTGTTGACTCTTTCTTCCCTGGAGGTTGCAGACCCCATCAAAGTGATAGGCAGCTCCTGTTGATGTGGGGTCAGTGAGCCAAGGAGTCGAAAGAAAGATTTCTTGGACTCTCAAGGTCTGGCAGTAGTGCTCTTTTATTTAGAGAATAGTGTGGAATAGCATAGGGACAGGATCCATGGGCAGTAAAGAGCTGCTGCTGCAAACATGGGTTGAGGGTAGGGCTAAATTTAAGGCATAGGTATGTGAGTTATCTCTTTACAAGACAAAGGAAAGAATATGTAAAAAGAGTTGTTAAAATGGTATCAGTGCTGGTGGGGTCTGGTTATTGGGTGGTCTTATAACTTTTAGATAAGAATCAAACCAGATTAAGTAAATGGCAGAAGGCACCACCTTAAATATTATCGTCAGCCAAAGACAAAGGAGGATGTTGGTGGTGGTGGGTGGGGGGGTCAGTTACATGAGGTTACCAGACCGTAAACAACTTAAGTCCTTGCCTTCCCCATGAAGAGTTTCTAGAGATAAGGTCATCCCCGCTTCCTCCTGGTGCAGAGAGGGAGACATCCCCACAGATGGAGACTTCCTTCACAAATGCAAATGTCTCTCTCTCATCAAAGGGCGAGCAAATTCCACTCCTCAGAGCCTCCTTCCCTGTCTGCAGTTTTCAAAAGTAACCAGCCCAAAATAATCTTCATCACTATCACTTTCCAATCATTTGGTTATTGCAACTCAGACCAGTTTAGGACTGGTAATCAATGGTTGTTGACATCACAAAGAGAAAGAGAAGCAGACGTATTTGCTTCCCCATGGAAGAACACATTGCCACTAATGAAATCCCCTTGAAAAAAAAATTCATTGGATCTGAATTTGATTGAGTCTCTAGATTTTACCGGTTTACCAGGAATACAGGGCACAAATGATCATGTTGAACAAGAACAGAAAAATCCAGACCACGGGAGACTTTACAGGACAAATGACCCAACTTCTTCAATTAAAAACTTACAAGAGAAAAAAACATGGAGGAGAAACCTATAGGTCAGAGATTGGCAAGGTTTTTCTGTGAAGGACCAGATAGTAAATATTTTAGCCTTTGAAGGGCATAAAGTCTCAGATGCCACACAAGCTAGTCAACCCTGCCCTCGTGATGTGAAATTTGCCTTGGACAATATGTAAGTGGAGGATGTGGTTACGTTCAAATAAAACTTTATGGAACTGAAAGTTGAATTTCATGTAATTTTCACACCACACAAATATTCTTCTTTTATATTTAGAACCATTCAACAATGTATAAGACCAAGCCTAGCTCTTGGGCCATACAAAAACAGACAGTGCATGGCAGTGCATGGGCTGCAGTTTGCTGCCTCCAGCTTTAGTTAAAAGAAATTAAGAGGCACATCAACCGATTGTAACTTATGGACTTTATTTGAATTTTGGTTCAAACAAAAAAGCAGTTAAAAAAATGTGTAAGCAATCAGGGAGATGTGAACACTGATTGGCTATTTGATAACATTATGGAACTGCAAAAATATTTTTAAATGTTAACCATATTGGAATCATCTCTATTTTTAAAAGATTCTTTATCTTTTAGAGATAGGCACTGAAATATTTACAGATGAGATGATACAGCATCTGGCATGTGCTTCAAAATAATCCGGGTGTAGAGGAAGTGGGTGGGGATATAGATGAAATGAGATTGGTCATGTAGTGACAACTGGAGAAGCTGGGTGAAAGGTAAATGGGGATCCACTATGGCGTTTCCTTTATTTTTATTTGTGTGTGAAAATTTCCGTAATAAGAAGTAAAACAAAATAACAACAACAAAACAACCAAACAACCCCAAACCCAAAACCACAACTCAACCAGTGTACAGCTTTTGACCTCACATCCTGTTTGCTGGGGAGAGATGCATGACTTAATGAGCTGGAAGTGGAGGAGCCCAGTTTACTCCTTCGAGCACCCTCCCACCGCAGTACCCTGGAATGAAAGGGGAGGCGGGAACTACCGCAGTTGGGGGCAGGGAGGAGGAACAGGGTTGACCGACCCTAGACAAGCCACGGGGCAGTCAGGGACTCGCTCTGGCTCTGTGCAGTTCTGGCCCTAGTGCTGGGGGCCTCTGTGTATGTGGTCTTGGTACAGAGAGTGTGCAGGCCAAGTTATTTTACTCCAACACTCTCTGCCAGTGAGGACCCTCTCAGAGAGGCACTGGGTCTCCCTTTGGGTCCTTGCAGAAATAAGAGTCCATCGTTGCCCAGCCCTCTAGTCCAGCCTGGCTGCTTGTTGCTCCTCTGCCTCTCCTCCTTCGCGTGATACGACAGGAACCTCTGAGGTCCTCATACGACAGCAGGGAGTTCATCACCAAGAGATCTTCACTGTAGGAGCTTCAAAGATCTATATTTTAGGCAGAAGAAAGGTGACCTCAGAGGGAAGAGTAGTGCTGCAAGAAGGAATGATGAGCACAATAGTGGCAAACATATAGGGAAATCTAAACATATGTCTGTATAATATAATAATGGTAATCATAACAATAACATGAATTCAGGGTTAAAAAAAGGGCAGAACTGAAATAGCATGGGAGGGGGAGATTGTAGCAAAAGAGTTCTAGGTCCTTACTTTGTTTCAAAGGGGTATTTAGGATATGACTTTTAGACTTCGGGCATGCATGGTGAAATTTTGAGGGTGATAAATAAAAGAGTGTAAACTTCCAAATGAGTAGAAGGAAAAATGTAACATACCTCAGATAAGATATTTATGAAGAATATAAAACTTCCTTGAAACATGGTAAAGAAGACCAACAAATAGAGATAATATGTAATGGATTGGAAGATTCAGTTTTGTAAAGAGGTCAAAACTGCCAAACTGATTTATGGATTCAACGTATTCAATTAAAATGCCCAGAGAGTATTTTGAGCAACTCGACAAGCTAATTCTGAAATATTTATGGAAGGGAAAGCTCAAGAATGGTCAAACTCCTGAGGAAGAATAGGGAGGGGGGAATCTCAAGATATCCATATAAAAGACATCATAAAGATATAGAAATTAAGGTCACATGACAGTAGCACAAAGAGACACATTTGCCAGTGGAATAGAATAGAACCAACAATATTGTTGCTCATACATGAAAGTCTGACGCGTGACAGAGGAGGCCTTGCTCATCTCCAGGGGAAGGAGAAAGTATCAATAAGTGATGCTGAGATAGATGATCATTCCTATGGGAAAAAAAAGAAATTGTATCTGTGCCTCACACAGACACAAAAATCAATTCTAGGTAGACCGAATGAAAAAGACACAGTTTTAAAGCTCTTACAAGAAAATATAAGGGAATATTTTTCAGACTTCAGGGCAAGAAAGGACTTCATGAAAAGACAGAGAACTAATCACAAAAAAAGGACTGAAATTCTACTTCATTAAGGTTAATAACTTCTTTTCATCAAAGGTCATCATACAAAAAGGGAAAAGACAAGCCACGAATGGGAAGAAAATATGTGTAAACAAATACAACTTACTAAAGGTGAGTATCAAGAATATATAAACAGTTCCTAAAAATGAATAAGAAGATAACTCCGAAGAAAAATGGGCAAAAGACATGAACAGGCATTTTTTAAAAGAGGAAATCTAAATGGATAATAAATATATATAAAGGTCTCAGCCTTATTAGTGATTAGTGAGATGTAAATTAAAGCTTCAGTGAAATACTATTTTACATCCACTCATGTGGAAAATTAAGTATGACAGGGCTAAGTGTTGGTGAAGATGCAAATCAACAAGAATTCTTTTTTTTTTTTTTTTTTTTGAGGAAGATTACCCCTGAGCTAACTACTGCCAGTCCTCCTCTTTTTGCTGAGGAAGCCTGGCCCTGAGCTAACATCTGTGCCCATCTTCCTCTACTTTATATGTGGGACGCCCACCACAGCATGGCTTGCCAAGCAGTGCCATGTCCACACCCGGGATCCGAACGGGCGAACCCGGGCCACTGAGATGCGGAACGTGCGAACTTAACCGCTGTGCCACTGGGCCAGCCCTCAGCAAGAATTCTTACACATTGGTGATCGAAGTGAAATTGGTACCATCAATTGGGAAAACATTTTAGTATTCTATTGTAAAGTTGAACCTTTGCATACCTTCCTAGGTATTAAATCCTAAAGAATCTCTTGCATGCATACACCAGGACACAATTCGGGTTCTTTTCAATAGTTTTCTAATTCCAAATGAGAAAAAACAAATCAAGGGGTTTTGTCACCCAATCAATAAATTGTGGTATATTCACATAATGGAATATTTTCCAGCAGGGAAAACAAATGACAGATCTATACAGCAATGTGTGTGTGTTACAGGAACAATTTTGAAAGAAGCAAGTTGCAGAGGATAACATACAGCACGATACCATTTTTATAAAGCTCCAAATAAGCAACACGAAACAGTGTATTAGGGATACAAAGAAGTGATTTAAAAAGTCATTTTAAGAAGCAAGGACAGCATAGATATAACACTCAGGAGAGTGGTCATCTCTGGTGCGGGAGGCAGGGAGTCTGGTCAAGAGAACACGCAGGTGTGAGGAGCATCCCTGTTAGTATGTTCCGGTTCTTAAGTAGGATGGTGTATTCACGGGTAGTTCTTTTATTACCATGTTTCATAACTACATGTATCCCACGTATTCTTTTGTATATATTACATATTATATATATGCATATTACATATAATTAATTATATAATATATATAATTTAAAGAAAAACTCTGAATCTGTTAGGATTTTAACTCCCGAATGTGCCTCCCAAGGCCCTCGACGTCTCTCTCTGGGTCGTTTTCCGTCTGCTCCATGACTCCAGCTTCTCCAGCCACAACAGGTGCCACCTCTGGAGTCTTTGCACATACTCTTCTGCGTTAACTTCCATCCCGTGAACAACTTCCTGGGCCGCCTTGCCTGCCTCTCCTCTCAAAAGTCCCTCAGATTCCTGGGCCTCAAGCGCCAGGACTGGCGCCCTCTCTGTTCGGGAACGCGCTCACCGCGCTCTCACCGTTGGCCCGGCCCTCGCCGCCGACGCCCCGTGCGCCTCTGGCCGCGCGCCCCCGCCGTTTGCTGCGCGCCCCGCCTCCACCTCCTCGCTCCTCCGCCCTTCCCTGCCGCGGGTCCGCACGGCGCTGCCCCTGGTGCCCTGGACCCCGCGGTCCGGCCGCGCCGACTGGAAACTGGCTGGGCGCGCCGCCCCTAGCAGGACCGGCGGGGCCGCAGCGAGATGGGCCTGAGCCGTGCCCCCGGGGGGGAGTGCAGGCCCAGCCTGTCTAAGTTCCCCAGGTCCCGCCCCAAACCCGCCTCAAGAACCGCAGGTATGGGACCAAATGACAGTCAACCTGCTCCTGGCCATTCAACTGAGCCCCAACAGGGGTGCCCAGGAATGGGTCCCCTCCCCACCGAGCCGCCGCGCCGAGGCTTAGAAGCCCTCCGGGTCGTTCTCCAGGTCCCCGCGGGCTGTCAGACCCAGGAGCGTCACCGTAGCTGCCTTCAAGGCTCCTTCTCATAGATATTTGTTGATTGTGTGAAATGCCTGTTAACCGTAATGAGTGCGTATTTCGGAATGATCATTTGTTATGAGTCAATCACAGCGAGCCAGGCATCCAGCGACCCTCTCGGGTATCTACCCTCCTACTGTATTTCAGGTGGAAGTGGGACAGAGGTGGCAGCTGCCCGGCAGGGAGAGTTAAGAAAGCTCCGCAGAAGCTTCTGCTGTGGGGCCTAGACCCAAGGTCTCTTCCTGCGATCTGGGATAGAGGCAACTCTGACTTCGTCCTCTCCCCAGTTCTGTCCCCGGGAATTCCACAGTCTCTCTTTCCAGAGGAACTGAGCCCTCTCCAGTATCGTCCCAGGATCCCCCTCATTCATCCAAAAGTGTATTGAGGACTAGGCACGAGCCAGGCACGTTCTAGGCTAGAGCTGGGACCCCCACCTTCATATAGCAGTCAAGGTGATGGCTCCAACTCTTCTTTCACAGGTTTCATTCCCATAGAAGGCAATTGTAGTTTAAATACAGGTTTTTTTTTTTTTCTTGAATTAGAAGAATCGGGGGACTCTCAAGCGTTGGTCCAGCTCTCGCCCAAGCAGCCGGAGCAGGGCACATTAGAACAGGGCAGAAGCATCCAGCAGGGGTAAGATTCTTTGCGGGGAAGGACTGGGTCTTTGGCTGGTAAAAGTCTTTAAAGAACTGACTTTGATGGTGTTTCTGTAAAACAAATCCTGAGATGGTTTCTGTGCCAACCAGCCTACCATGAACCAGTAGGCAGAAGGCTGGGGTACTCACGGTAGTTATAGATTGTGACCAGGCCTGGGGACCTGCTGGCAGGAGGCTGCCTTGCAGTAGTTTCTAGCCACAGGGCCTTCTCCAGACCCCTGAGAACTAAATTGCTTAAGAAGGGTGCTTACAATATTGCCAGCTGGCCTCACTAACTAATGCATGATGCAACCTTTTTGCAAATTTCCCCAACTCGCTTTCATTAAAAACATGATGTTTGCCTCTTTTTAAAATTCTGAGGGGCTGAAATTTTCGAGAAGAGCTATAGTAAAAGTGAGGGGTTCCCCCTTCCCCTGTTGTACTTTTGGAGAAAAGTTAAAGAGTGGGGAAAGGTAAAGAAAATGCCATTTTGGGTTGGTAATGTTCCAGGTGTATACATATGCTTTCTCCGTTAACCCTTTTGACAACTGGGTGAGACAAAGATCATCTCTGTTTTATAGATAATCAAGTTGAGGTTCAGACAGATTAATTTACTAACCCAATGCTGGGCAGCAAGTATCTGAGCCAGGATTCAAACCCAGGTCTTTTTGGCTCCGATATATTTCACTCTACTATACTACCCCAAAAGCGTATTCTTGCCTTCAGTTTCACTTGTCTCCTGTAAAACTTTGTTTCAAGGGACAAAATACACTGATTTGTTTCACGTTACTTATGGTTACAGTGTTTGTGACTCAACTAGATTTCTCCGAAATATGGAGCTAATTATTGGAAGAAACAGCTCAAGGGCTCAAGGAGCTTGCTTCTGGCCTACTAGCCTGGGAAGGTTGCATTTCATTATAAGCTATTATGTTCTGGAACCACTTTTCAAAAGCTTTGGGTAGGGGCCCGCCTGGTGGCACAGGGGTTAAGTTCGCACGTTCCGCTTCTCGGCAGCCCGGGGTTCACCAGTTTGGATCCTGGGTGCGGATATGGCACCGCTTGGCAATCCATGCTGTGGCAGGCGTCCCACATATAAAGCAGAGGAAGATGGGCACGGATGTTAGCTCAGGGCCAGGCTTCCTCAGCAAAAAGAGGAGGATTGGCAGCAGATGTTAGCTCAGGGCTAATCTTCCTCAAAAAAAAAAAAAAAAGAAAGAAAGAAAAAAAGCTTTGTGCAAGTATCACCTTGGTAAATATTTAGAAAAGATTATTAGCAAAAACAAAACAAAACAAAAAAATTCCCCCAACCTCCCCCCCACCCCGAAAGCTACTCGTTGCTATCGTTAGCATTTTAAACAATTATCTGGAAAGCAGTAAACAGCAATTATTTTGTATAACAGCTAATGGCATTATAGGAACAAGCTTCAGGGGAAATGTTTCATGGAATCACAAAACTGAAAGATATCTTAAATTCACAAATCTGAAAGAATACGGAATTTCCAATAATTGTGAAATAATGTTTATTTGTTAACTCTACCACCACAAAATTCATTTAGGGAGAAGGTTGTAGTTAACTTGGAGATCACACCGAACCAGAAGAGGGCAGAATGGAATTCAACCCCGAAACCCACGAGGGCAGGCAAATTGACAAAGCAAGCAGCTAAGGTGGGTATCAGGAGAATTCTTAGACAGCGCATAGCTTTAACCTCCCGGCGACTTCTTCTCTACCTGCATACTGTATGCTACTTTCTCGAGACTGTGTGGCAGGTTGAACTGCACACTGAGTTAGGATGTTGATTATACCTTTTCAGTTTTTTAAAAACAGCTTTATTGTGCTGTTTGTTGAACTTTATTGAGGTATAGCTGACATACGTGTAACTGACACACAATAAACTGCACGTATTTAGAATATACAAATGGATGTGTTTTAGCACATATGTCTACACCCGTGAAGCCATCCCTCAGTCAAGATAATGAACGTCTCCATCACTCTCAAAACCTTCTTTGTGCCCCTGTGTAAATCCATCCGTCTTCCCATCCCTCCCCCATCCCCAGACAACAACTGAAATGGAGAGATTGGACCCGGTGTTGTTGAAAGTGTCTTCTAGCCGTGGCTTTAGTGCGATTTGATTCCTGATGCTCAGGTTCTGCCGAGAACTTGATGATCCTGGTTACTGTCGGGTTCACTATGACCTATGCACTATACTCATTTAAGGGAGGCGAGACTCTTGGTCTCTTTAGTAAAATAATAATCCTGACAGTCAAGGGTTTTTATTTCTCATTGCATGCTAGAAGAGGAAAGTGCCAGTTGATTCTATGCTAGAAGAAAGTGGCAAGTGAGTTGGTCTAAACTGTATTGGCTAGGAATACAGAGGTGTCGATGATGACAACGTTATTACTGGTCAGTGAATTGTCAAGCCCAACCACAAATAAGAATTTCAGTTTCTCCTTGAAGGGTATTTCCACAGGACACTACAGAAACTTCTAGAATGTTTTCAGACCATTTTGTTCAAGTGATAGTCTAAGGACTGATTTATATTAACAGAGAACAGAGCAAGTTGGTAATAGGTACGAATGTTCATGAAACCTCCATATTGCACAGTGTAACAAGGTTGATATTCTCGTAAATGTTTTCAATTTAATACTTTATCAAGTCAGCTTCTTTAGCAGGCTTTATGATGCAGAAATTCACTGCTGCCTCTGTAGCTGCAGGGTGGCCTTGCCTTCAAGACTTCAGAAGACTCCTTTTAAGCAGAAATTTAGGAAGACTTGCATTTTAAGATTAGGCTCTGGAATCTCATTTGATAACATTATAAGCAAAAAAGCAGGCCTGTAAGACTTAATGTTACTGGCAAAAATATAGTGAGATGAATAGGATTTTACTTATGATAGCGAACTTCTTAATGTCAAGTTCGTGTGCCCGATGTGCAAGAAGCCAGTCACTGAGACATCAGTGCTTGGAGATGGAGAAAGGTTTATTAGAATTGGCCAAAACAAGAAGGTGGGAGGATAGGTTCTCTCAAATCTGCCTTAACAATGAAGAAAGCAGGGGGTCATTATAGAGCTAAGGGATTTGGGAGGAGGAGATTTAGAGAAACAAAGGGGAAATCCATGTTTCTTTCACTCCAGATAAGCCCCTGGACAACCAGACTTCTGGGCGTCAGCAGCAGCTGGGGGTTGGTTATCTGGTGATCATAACTTCCTTAAAGGCATTCTTTTTCTTCTGCAAAAATAAGTTCATAAATCTTGTGACTCTTGAGTCACCCCTCAGGTTAAAAAAGAAAAGAGCAAATTAACAAGATTAACTTCTTTTCATCTGTGTCTGTGTTGAGAACAAGGTTGAAGGGTAATCTTGTTCTTGTTGAATATTTACAGTAAACCTCAGGTACCAGCGTCAATAGAGTGAAATAAGGATTATATAGCATTACTTTTCTATAGATTTTTGTCCTGCAGAGGTCTGGGAGGATGTTCTTGTCCTTGCCTTCAAGGTTCTCACAGATAATTTGGGGAAATAGGAAGAAGATAAGAACTTACATTACAATGTGATAAGTGACGTCATCACCAGCTCCCCATATGAAACTTTGTATAACGTTATACATGGTTTCATTTCCTTTTCCCTGCTGTAGAGTGTTAGGACAAAAACCTGCCGGGATGTCTCACTTCAAGCTGTTCTGATTTCATCTTAACCTGATTGAGGTCTGTGCACGTATCTTTGATGGACATGTTTACTTTTCACCTTCTCTAATGTCTCCTGTTCTCCCCTGCTGTTCTGAGGCACTGGACGCAGTCCTTCTCTCATTTGACTCCTGTTTCTGCTGCTTTCGCCAAGCCACGTACATATGCTTTAAAATACACAGAATTACTTACTGCCTTATGTAACAGGGTGAATTAATGCCAAGATAGGACAGATGAAATAAATGCATCTTGAGGTCCTAGCACATGAGGAACGCCAGCTCTTTTCCTCAAGTGAGGCCTTAGAGATTGCTGGCCATGGACACAGGTCCACGCCTGCCCTGCCCATATTTTCTCCTTTTTTCTTTCTAGTCTCTCCATCTATGTATCATCTCCAAATTCATCGTGTATCATCCCCTCCCCTGCTCACTCTGCATCAGCCATCCCAGCCTCCTTTCTGTATGTCAGATGAACCCAAGTCTTTCCTTCCTCAGGGCCTTTGCAATTACCAGCTTGCTAGGACTGCTCTTCCCTGGGTTTTCAAATCCAGCCCATATGTGTTGTTACGGACTGAGTGTATGTTCGTGCCTCCACCCCGATTGATGTGTTGAAGCCCAAATCCCCAGTGTGGCTGCATTTGGAGTAAGAAGTAATTAAGGTTAAATGAGATCGTAAGGGTAGGGCTCTGATTTGATAGGATTGGATTAGCGCCCTTATAAGAAGAGACACCAGAGAGCTTGCTGTCTCTCTCAACACATGAAGAAATAGTCATGTGAGCATACAGGGCGCTGGCGGCTGCCTACAAGCCAAGAGAAGAGGCCTCATAATGAAACCTACTGAGTTGGCTCCTTGATCTTGGACTTCCCAGCCTCCAGAACTGTGAGAAGTAAATTTCCCTTAAGGTGCCCAGTCTGTGGTGGCAGCCAGAACAGACCAATACATGTCTTGTCTTGGGAAAGGTCCTCTCCGACCTCTTTATCTGAAGATCAACTCCTCCTCAGTGCTCTTGATCTTGGCCCCTCCCACTTCTCTGGGATCCCTTTGCTGCCCATTAATCCTCTTTCTCTGCCCTCTCCATCTCCCCTCTCCTGGAGCCTCACCCCCAGAACTTACACACGCTGTTGTCTTCCCTGTCTTGAAAATGCCCTCCCTGGACCCCTTGTTTCTCTTCATTTCCCACTTTATGCTGCTTCTCCCTTTCGCATCCAGGATCTTGAAAGACTTGTCTGCCCTCATTGTCTCCAGCTTCCCACTTCTCATTTCCTGTCTGGTTCATGCCAGAAAGGCCTGCACCTCCACCATCATCTGGTCCCTTTCTCCTTCTACAGCTTCATCCGACATTCTCTCCCCCTCAGAGTCCTTCAGCCACACTGAACTGTCCCACCCAAGCGTCTTTGTGCTGCCCCCTGCCTGGAGTCATCCTCCAGGTCTTCACAGAATTTTCTTCTTACCTCTAAGTTCTCAGCCTCAGTCTTCTTCACAGAGTTCTCACCTGACCATGTGTCCCAGAGTCGCTCCATAGTCACCCTCTGCCACACCACTGTTTTGGTTGGATGATAGCAATTTTTCTGACCTGATGTTTTCTTGTTCACTTATTTGTCTGTTTCCTTCTCACTAGAATATAAAATCTACGAGAGGAGGTACCACTTCTTCCTTGTTCACTGATCCTAGTCGTCTATGATAGTATTTGGCAAATAGTGCATTTTCAGTAAATACTTGTTGAGGAAATGAGTACATGAACAAGGGATTTTTGTCGTAAGTAATAGAAAACCAGCTTTAACTAGCATAAGTCAAAAGAGATTTTTTTATTGGAAGGTTACTAGAGTAACTGAGGCTCAGGGAGGACTCACTGTAGGAACCTGGGCAGCTCAGGGTTCTTTAGAAACTGCAACCAGGATCTGGGCCCCTGCACTGTCCGGGCCTCCCTCTGTCTGCCCACCTCTCCTCTTGGCGTCTTTCAGGTTGATGGCTTCATTTACTTCTATAGAAAACAGTTTCTTCCATGGGGTTTGGGGAAGAGAGGCCCAGCTTAGCAATCCCAGAGAAAATAGAGAGAGCATCTCTTCCCTTGCTTTCCATATAAAAATCCAAGGGAAAGACTCTGGTCCAGGCTGACAAAGGTGCCATGATTGGCATCCCCACTAGAATCACATGGATGGGAGGAAGGGAGAAATTACCCAAAGGAAAATGAGAGGGTTGTTATCAGAAGAATGCCAACCGTCTACCACTGCTACAATCTATGCATACTGTCTAAAGTAGTCTCCCGCAGCCCAGCAACATAACACTCCATCATATCACCCCATCTATTGCCTTAATAGCACTTATCACATTATATAGTCATTTGCCTATTGATTACCTGTCTCCCTCTAGCCAGAAGGCAGAGTACTTGTTATCCTTATTCACTGCTATATTCCCAATGCATAAAATAGTAGGTTCTTGATAAATATTTGTTGATTGAATACATAAAGGGAGAATTTCTGAGAGTGAATGAAACCATTGTATTCATTACAATGGATTAGAAATAAATTCACAGTGATAGATTCATAACAGAGTAATTAGGAGTAATGCACTCCATTGGGCATATAATAATCTTTTAACATTGAAATTGTAAAGAACAATATCTCTGCTCTCTCAGAAGTTCTACTAAAGATCTGTTGAACAGCTAGTAAGTGGCAGAGATGGGATTTGAACCAGGTCTCGTGACAACAAACCCTGTCTTCTTTCTATGAGTCTGTAGCTGTCTACTATTCTAACTCATATTCTCTCTCTCTTGTGTCATGTCAACATTTGAGGCTCTGGGTTTTATTTCTGAGATATCATCTGGGTTAGGATCAGAACTGAGTATGAAACTCCTAATTCCTGTGTCTTGATGATTTTCTTCTGCTCCTAGCTTTCCACATCGGCTCTATGCCTCGTCAGAGATTGACCCGAGAGTCTGTGTCCTAGAAACAGTCTAGGGGCTTCATGTTTTTACTCCCAGGAGTTCAAAGGAA